ATTCAGAATAAACTAATGAGACCAAAGGTTATGTATTAAGCTTTTATTTTTTCCCCTTAAATATGTTTTTAAAATTAAATGTAATTTTCTAATTATATTATTTCCTTGTTTGTATATTTTTAGTTTTATAAAACTATTTTAAGATTGAAATATTGACCTTTTTTGGTGTAATTTTTATGGCCATAAGAAGTTGAAGTTTATCTTTAATTAAAGAAGGCACAAGGTTTTAAATTTCGCTGCCTTATTAGGTATTGTGTGAGGGAAAAAGAGTTTTTTAATGGAATCGTTACTGAAAAACAAAATATTGTCTAAATAGTAAAAAAATATAGTCAAAATAGAAAAATGTACATAGAGTACATGTATATGGTAATTTGTTTTTACTATGTTTTGTGCCAAAATTGTACAACGATCTTAATGGAACTTCTTCCAATATATTTGCAGGGTTTTACTTATCAAAAAGGGCTTGAAGGAATCTGACCATTATTACTATCAGAAAAATTATATTATGGCTTATATATATTGTGTAAAAAACTACAGAAAGTGTGACTTGAAAGTCCAATGACAATGTCGAAGAGAGGACAAAAGTGCAATTTCACATGAAATATTCAAGGTTCAAGATTTTATTAATGTCTTAAAAGATAATCATTCATCAAATTATAATCAAAATGTGACAACGTCGAAGTCGATTATCATCATGCCATTTTTTTCCGCATTAGCCGATTTTATAGGTTGCACTTTGTAAATATAGTTGTCTCACAAACCACTCCTCTTTTGGGGAGATATATAATATTCATAGATATTTTGTTAAAGTTTACCTACTGGTTCCCAGATATGTTTCATCTCATAGGGACACAACTTGCGAATTTTACCAGTATAAATAAACATAGATAGTTGCCAAATAGAATTCTAAGGAAGACCCAAAGTGAAGGGAGGGGTAGTACATAATTTTAGTTTAAGTTTAAACTCTTAATAGTTTGAGGCATATAAGTGTTGAAAATATGCCGCACAGCCCTATGTTTTGACCTTTGAAGAAATAGTCGTGCATATGAACTTTCCATTCTAGCACATATTTTTTTTAACGAAACTTCATAGTAAAAATGGCACAGTTTTAGCCATAAAAGGAGATCCTATGGGCAATTGTATCGTCTATATTTACAGAATTGCAACCTTTATACAGTCACACTACAGATATTCAGCTAAATCTATAATTCGGAACATTTTGTTACCTAATACTTTCACAAACAGACATGACGAGTTGTAGGGAAATAAACGCACAATTTTGTACTTTACGAACAGTAACAAAAGGTTCCGAATTACAGATATTCAGCTAAATCTATAATTCGGAACCTTTTGTTACTGTTCGTAAAGTACAAAGTTGTGCGTTTATTTCCCTACAACTCGTCATGTATATTTGTGAAAGTATTTGGTATGGTACTGATTTTTGTCTTATTAATTATTAAACATGTATTAAGAAATTTGTTGGCAATGGTATTGCAAAACTAATGACCCTAACGACAAAGTATGTCTTCTAAAGGGAATGTTATCCCATCCACCGAATGTAATCGGTATTTCAAGATTACAGAGTATCAAACTAGTCTTATCTGCTAAGTGAGTTACTAAACTGTTTTTATATGAATTATAATAAATATAAAAATAAGGTGTGGTAAGATTGTCCAATGAGACAGTTTTCTGGATTACAAATATGGCTTAAATATCCAGAAAAATACACCTTGAGATGATTCAAAAAGACAGAAAATAATAATTTTGCATCGTTATTGTCTTTGAACAGTGATACATTTTCTCGGCACGCTCGATTTGTAATAAATAAGATATAACAGTAAAGTAAACAAGTATATATAGGATCTCCAGGGTACCAGGCCGAGGTATACCTCCTCTCTACTACGGAACCAGACTAATGTTTCATTTTATATTCCTACATTATAAGTCACATAATATATTTGTAATACCATCAAACTTGTTGTGTAGGAAGTTAAACACCGGCCCAACTCTCTAACATGTGTAATACAGTTACACTGCAAATACAAGACATCATATAAAAAAACCCAAATTAAATTTTCCCTCATTTTTGAAAATATTTTCAGAAGAACAAAAGTACAGGAACGTCAGTTGTGTGTATGTGTGTAAAAGGGGGATGCTTTTCTATCTCCTTCGCAAATTTTTGCTTGTCTGGGAATAAGTTTAAAAAAAGTAATAAGCTTAACCAGAGTGCACGTTTAACGACGTTTACTTTTTTCTTCGTTTCAAGGAGCTTTGCTCAAATAATGAACATATTTAATAATCTTTATTCTTTAAAAGAAAACTTACAGCTAAAAATAACTCAATTAGTGAAACTATTGACTAACGTGTTTCTTATGACCAAATAAGGATTTAAAAATATAACTCCCTATTTCAACATTTAAAAACTTTTTTCTATTTAAAGACAAAGGTATTTTTAGAGAAAAAAGTAGGTAATTTAATTATTCTATTTGTTCAAAAAGATAAATTTTAAATGACAAATCTGATATTTAAAGACAGGTTTTATTTAACCCCAGTAAGATAGCCAATATAATAATAAATATTTGAGGTTTGACAGAAGGCTTTATGACTCGAATTAAGATTAACATAATTGCGGTACACTAACGCCACATTACTGACCGTTATGGTACATGTATTTTACAGACATTTTACATGGTATGTTTACAGTTGTCATAAATAACTAATTTGTTTTCCCTTTGTTTCTAGAAAAAAATCGGTTTATGTATTAGATACACCTCGAAATGTCTATACTATCCCTACGACATTTTTGCGACTGTCATAAGTCAGGACCATCTAGCCTTTGTTAGTCTTGTGTGTTTTTTTAAATTTGGTTCGGAGTTTAGTGTGGCGTCTATTTCGCTGCACTAGTATACATTATTTGTTTAAGGGTCAGCTGACGCTCAAGCGCTTTAGGATGCGGTTTTTTTTTTTTTTTTTTTGTCTTTGACACATTCCCCGTTTTCATTCTCTATTCTAATTAGCGCCGGTATATACATGTAGCGAAATAAAAAAAAAAAAAAAAAAAACCCAACAGATCAAATAAATATATCAAGAGTTCCCTACCCTAAGTTCTAATGACTTTTTTTATATACTTGTGGTGGAATTGACGGGATTACCATACAGTTTTTTTTTCGTTTTCTGAAAGAGCTATTATTATAACTTTCAGTTAAAGTTTTGTATTTCAACTAGTAAAATAAATATCTCAAACAGTTCTATTGTTATTTTATGCCTGTCTTGAAAATTGGGATTGTTTATAAGTACTACTAAATACTATTAATATATATATATATCCAATATGGATTTAAATACATTTATACATGTGATGTCCTTCCATCCATGTGACGTCCCCTTTTCAACAACCATTGTGTTTAAAAAGTCTAACTACTATGTATCAACACTTGTTCTTCCGTGATCCTTATTGTTCCATTCCAAGGGGTTTTTGTTTTTAGAATGCAAGGATTATTCCCTTGTTATTTTTTTCTTCTTCAACTTTTTAGAACATTTTTTTCTCTATTCTTTATTTATTTTGAGCCCTTTTCTCTGCTCTTTATATTTTAGCACCCCATTTTTCTCTATTTTTTACTTTGTAGGGCATATTTTTCTCTATTCTTAAAATCTTTATACTTTTTGCTCTTTCTTCTGCACTTTTTGGCCATTATTTTCTATTCTGTTAACCTCATCCAGACCCTCATGATACTTTTATGTTCAAAACTGAAAAACGCGGAATTATTTCCGCGCTACAACTTTAATTAAGGAAGCACATTTAAAGGCTAAATTGATATGTTGTAAGTAATGTCAGGTTTGTCAACTTCCTTAAATTAAAAGAAAACTAAAATTTTGTATTTATTTGTACAAAATTTAGAATAATTTCTAATTTTCATTTATCGTGACATTTTCCGTAGTTTAGCAGCTTGAAAATGCAATGCAATTAATGATTTTAAAATAGGAGTAACATCAGCTGACGAAAAATCAATTCACGAATATGATAGTTGTTAATAATTGAGTAAAAGAGACAAATATCGAGCCAAATGAGAAATGTTCTCCATATGAAGCTGAGGGAGCCAAATCATAGAAAGGAAAAACAACAATAAGAAAGGAGGAGTCAATCTATTTGTCAATAATTGTGCACGAAGATTACCATGAAAAAATGTGATATCTTTATCTCTAAAAGGAACACGGATATTATCACGCATAAAAACTAACGACTTACATCATGATACATGTATATTGTGTGCATAAATATAAACCAGACTGACATGGGCACATTATTCTGATTTCATTTCTACCAGTCTTTGCTCTTACTTATTCATACCACGTGCTTAGATGAAAAACATCAGAAAGTCGGTTTGGTGGAAGCCATAACACCTCTGCAACCCGAGCGCCAGGCGAACACGACGCTACAGGGAAAAAAGTAGTATTACATTTTCCCGGCTTTAGGTTGGCCTTTTGTGTATCCAAGGCAGATGAAGGAAGTCAACTTAGGAGCGCTGTGATTGGATGTAAAGGTACAATATTTTTTTTATCTATCTATGAATAACTGCCGCAGTGTGTATATTTACAATATAATTTTTGAAACCCATTGAAATATTTTTTAGAGAATTATTCGAAAAGACTTCCAAAATTTCATAAATGTGGTGTAAAATGACGATGGGCATGGATAACATAAACAAGCTCCGTTGGAAGTTGGTCATGATACTATTTGACTTTTTTATAACAGAATAATAAAGTACTAATACCATGCATAACTGTTTTGTCCAGGTTTTTATTATAAAAAGTGGTAAATTTAGAAAATGTTAGTATTGTCGCCTATGGCAGAATAAATACTACCGTTTTCCCTAAATGAATCTCCCGATGAAATGAAAGGGATATGAGATCTATTGTTCGTTCTGATAATTTGTTCGTACTGTTTTCCGTACGTTAGTTAATGCCAGCCACAATACTCAGAAAATCAGAAGATGTCTTACCTTCTAGATCTGTTATATCATATAAGCTTTTCAGAATCATAGGATATATAAACTCTCATTATAACTGCCTGAACAAGTCTTTGATGTTGTTGAACAAACAGGTGTAACATAAACTTAGCATACTAGATATAAATTCACATACTTTAGTAAGTTTATTAGAGTTATGATTCAATACTGCTTGGGCGTAGACAAGTAGTTTATAATACGTCCTATGTTTCTTATTTAAAATTTGATGTGTGGGTGGCCTTTTTTATATCACACTATATAAATAACACATAGCTGAGAGGGTGATAGAGCAGATTGTTACCCCGAGAAAACATTGTCAACTGAGGCGAAGCCAAGTTTGACAATGTATTTTCGAGGGGTAACAATCTGCTCTATCACCCTCTCAGATGTGTGTTATTTAATTTATTATACTGAATGTTCTGTTATTACTGTCTGTTAAATTTCAAATTCAAAGAAATAAACTGTGACGTCTTGTACATAACAATCATCCGTATTTATTAAAGCGCACACTTGATCAAGCGTACGTCTCCGTGAAGGGTAATAGAGTATTTACTATAGGATAGAGTAAATTGTCTCCCTCGTATTATAACCAATCAAAATCTGGCATTTTGACATGAAGTATAATAAAATGATATAACGTTGTTATGTAAAGAGTTCAGAAATTTCATTTAGAATAATATCAAATATTCATATCAGTTCAAAAATTGGCAGAACATAATTTGATTTCGCTAAAGTAACGTCAACTAGTTTTTATAGAACCAATCATGTGAAATGCTTTATGGTAATTGCTTGACCATTATTGCAATTTGAGATCTGAGAATACAAGTGTCAACATCTCGCTTTGTTATTCTTTGATCTATATTGTATTTGACTCCGTGTACGTTCCTCTCACACAGTTATCCATAAAAGACAACCAAATCATAATGGCGTCTATAAAACGTTTTTGTTTTCAAACTACCCTCATTATAAATAACAGCCTTTAACAATACGACGGGTGCCACTAGTTAAGCAGGATCTGCCTTCCCTTCCAGAGCATCTGAGATCAGCCCCAGTTTTGGTGGGATTTGTGTTGCTCAGTCTTCTGTTTTCTTTGTAGTGTTTTGTTAACTTGTTTATCTTTTCGTCGTCGTTTGGTTTTAGCCATGGTGATGTAAGTTTCAGAAAATCAATCTAAGTTTGAAAGTCTCCTCGGTATCTTCTGTCTATGTTTTTCTAGATGTAAGTCAAGATATGAGGCACACTTAACTGTATCTGTGGTATCCTTGAGTTTATTTAAAATTCATCCGGATAGATGTAGTTAACATAGTCACCAAATTAATTATTGAAAGAAGGGAAAATATCTTATAGCGGAAAGGGAAGTTAAATGGTAATGCCAGGCTCTTTGTTTGAATTTTCTTGAGAAGCATCTTATGAAGTTTGCCTCTTTGAAATAAAGGAATAAGTCGGAAAGAAGAAGTTGGTTCTGATATAAATACCGATTGCATGTTGGAACGTCCCCTAAACGTATCAAATATGTTGTCAATAAAACCATCCTGCATTCTGATAATGTCACAAATTATCCTCGAATCAGAGTGGTTTTATTTTGTTTTTTGTTTGTTTTACAAATCATGATTTGTTCCTTCCAAAAACAAGATATTTGTATCTGTGTTGGTTATTCTGCTTTATGAAGTTTGATTAAATCGTTCAATATGTCTTTAATTTTAGAATGATGAATACTAGTTTAAAGGGTAGAGAATTCAAATGTTTTCATACTATAGTTGCACGCAGAGAGGAAATTAAAAGAAATGTACTTAAACAGATCTTTTGAATTTTTTAGTATCGACTAAAGCATATAATTTTGATTCATAGCATCCCTAAGTAGGAAGTATCAACACTGTATATCTAATTGTATAGTTTACTATATTTCTTTAACTCTTTTTAATATAAACAGAACAACATACTCAAATTTCAAACAAAAATGCTAGATATATAAAAGAAAAACATATCGCTTAAGTGTTGATTCTCTCTATCAAGTAAGAAGATGTGAATATCAAACCTACCATTCATCAGTTTTAATACATATTTGATATTCTGAATATGCATGAAATATTTGCCACTGGACGTTCAGCTAACAATGACAATTTTAGATTCGTTGACAAATGATACAAATTATTAAGAAAGCAGGAACGTTTTTATTAAGAAAAGAACGAGAAAACATATATTCTACAAAAATTAAGAAACATATACTTATTTATACATGTATGTCAGAGACAACAACCAGAACACACCTTTTTTTCAAAATTTCCCGAAAAAACGCTTTGCTATACAATGTTTGAATACTTCCTTTGCATTGATTAACTACTTAGGGCATTGTAGATTCTATGGAAGATATTTTTTTCAAACGAAACATATACGATCAATTATTACGTAATAACGGGAGTAGTTACGGAGGTGTTTGATAATAGACAGTGTGAATTATGACACTGTCGTAACATTGGTGCGTACAGTGCAATTGTACTTTTAGATAAATGACTGACGTACACATGAGAGCATTGTATTGACTTAAATTACAAAATATTGTTAAAAATGTAAAGGTTATATCAGATAAAATCTGTACATTACATGTAAATATATTACACAGGGTGCGCAATAATTCATTGATAAATAGTTGATTTGGTTATTAAGCAAGTAAACATTATGTGTACCTAAACTATATAATGAATATATACTTAATGACATGGGATAAAATATATTCTAAGAATTTTTATTTTTGTCCGACTAATCAATTCATAGTTATATTACTAGGGATGCTTTCTTTTATGTGATAAATTGAAGACACGATTCCTGTTTTACAAAATGTTGTTTAGGAAGAGGACAACAGAACGTTGACTTGAAGTCGTCAATTTTTAGGTCCTGCTACACGCGTTTGTAGAACTTTGATGATTTTAGTCGCAAAAGTTGTGGTATAAGTATTAGATATGATTGAAACAGACTTAATAATATCTTTAAAGTAGGGAGGTATTCTTGATTGACTTGATATATGATAAGGCAGACATTTTTACTCGGCTTGCAACATGCCACATATGGATCATGTCTCAGAGAGTTGATGCAAGGGTTGAAATTCTTTAACGTACAGAGAGCGTGACACTTGCCATACATGAGGCATTAGATGTAGCACCTTGATTCCGAAATGACGTACGTTGCTTCGATATAATACATCTCGTATAGTCATTTGCAATAACTCTTTGAGTGGCCATTGTGAATGACAAAATTTCTGCCTCTATCTAGCATAAAATTGTTTTCCTTTGCCGGTCCAAATTGTCCGATCTTCATCCCGCTGTACCTCTATTACATGACTTACCTTCTATATTTTTTCCTTCCTGAATATGCATGAACTATTTTCCACTGGATGCAAAGCAAACAATATTCAATCAATCAATTAACGACGACGATGATGACTACGAAAACGACAATGATGACGACAACGATAATAATGAAGACGGCGACGATAATGACGACTGTAAGGATGTATGTTTCAAATTTGAATTTTTTTATTCTGTATTATGTTTGTTTAGTTTATCTTAGCAACGATGTGATGTTTAAGGAAGTTCATTTCGATCGCTTTGTTTATATCTGTTTAATTCTATAAGATGTGAACTTAGATCACTGGTGTCAACGTGATGATCGTAACTGCAATTACGATCATCCCAATATGGCGGACATAAGGCCGACTTCTCCATTTTAACAGCTTATTTTCAGATTCGCATTATGTCAAGAAACAAATTTATAAGTATTGTCATCAAAGGTTTTTTCTTCATGATGCAAAAGCAACAAGAAGAACGAAAATCGAGATATAAAAAAACACGATATGATGATCGTAACTTTTATTTATTTTTATCAACGATAATCGTAATGCTTACTTATAATGATCGTAACTGTCTGTTCAAACGAAGCATTTTCTAATAAATAGAGCTGTATGGTATGCGAAAAAGTGTACATAATCAGCTTCTATTGTGATAATAATGAGAGACGATTACTGTAGGGGAGGGCAACATCCTATTGATTGGTATACGTGTAAGTGCACAATAATGGTTATGATTTTGCGAGATTTATCTAGTTCTATATTAAATTGCATTGGGGTAAATAACTTTATAATGATTTCATATATCTTATAAAAATAAGGTATTGGAGATTTCATATTAATGACCAGTTTGGTAAAATTTAAGATTTTTTTTCAATGGAACACTTTGTAGGAATAATATTACCTTTCGAGAACCTGATATTTTTAGGGGAATTCCGGACAGATATAGGATTAAGAAGTGTAACCATATCTGTTGAATGAAAAAAAGATTGAAAGCATCAATAAAATAGAGGTTGGAAAATATAGCATTAAGAAGTGTAACCATATCTGTTGAATGAAAAAGAAATTGAAACCTTCGATAAAATAATTCATTGATATTTTTGGCTAAAACAACTTCTTTCGACTTACTACAATAACACGTTTCATATAACAGTAAGTGTAAGGATTTAAAGTTTGAAAAACCTGGAAACTAATATGAACGTATATACCATTTATTTCAGCTTTTCCTTCATTACATAAATAGCCTACCCGTGATAAATATAGGCAACAGTGGCGGATCCAGAAATGTTCATAAAGGAGGGGGCACTGACTGCCTAAGAGGGCACTGACTGCCTAAGAGGGCCCCGCCCCAGTCATGCTTTAGTGATTCCCTATATAATCATCCAAGTGTTTCCCACACACGGGCGGGGACCCTGGCTCTCCATCTAAATCCGCTTCTGTAGTCTACCAATGTTTAATAGTCATAGTTTGATTAAGAAAATACAAAACCAGGCAACAAGCTAAAACCGAGGTGAACACATCAAAATAATGTAGCTTCATGCCTAACATTACTTATTTCTAAAATATTCAGTGAAAGTTTTGGCCTGCAATCTTAAACTGTATCATGAGGATGAAATTTATATTTACTTCATACAAACGTATTCTATTTTGAATTTTAACTAAATTACTCATAAGAAAAAAATATTGATGACATTTGCAAATAAGCCTGTCAATTCCCCCTTATGTCATTTCGTTTTGACAAATTGCAGTGCTCATTTTGTTCAGTTTCAAAATCATACTGTTTTCAGTTATACCAATATATCGTGACTTCTAAATAGAATGCTCATTTAAAGAAGGAACACATCGTAAATTGTGAGTTACGATCATCTTTAAATAATAACAAGTCTGAGTTACGATCATCCATAGCCGAAGTTACGATCATCATCGTGTTTTTTTCTTTTGTATAGCGATTTTCCTTCTTCTGGTTGTTTTTCCATCATTTTAGAAAATTACATTCAATGGCAATTCTTATAAAGATTTTTATTGACATAAAACAAATCTAAATACAAGCTGTTATAGTGGAGAAATCGGCCATATAAAATTTCCCTAAATGTGTGACCGCCATATTGGGATGATCGTAATTGCAGTTACGATCATCACGTTGACACCAGTGTTAGATGATCAAAACCATTTAATTAATTGATCAAAGAAAATACTATTAACAAAATCATTTGAGACGGCAAAACGCCAATATATTTCAACAATTTAAATGTATCAGATTCCAAATTTAGATTTCATAAATATGATTGTATAGGGGTTGTGTTTCTTATCAAAGTTGATTTCCTTAATGAAGAATTGTTACTTGCAACGATCTCAAGGGTTCTAAATGGGAATGTTATAGACGCTATCATGATATAAAGGACCTTTATGGGAAATGAGTGTCAATGAAGGTCACGGATATGTTTCATTTATAAAAGCCACATCGCCGTAATCTTTTCCTCGTTTCTGACATTACCGAATGTATCTTATCAATGTATGTTTACTTAACGGGCATGATCAACATGACAGGCGCTGTGGTGAGACATGAACTACTTGAAATACCATTCCGAAGCACCTCACTCCATGTCTGTTATGTAATAGGTTACGTGTTTCTCGAAATTCAGTTTTCTTTGTAGTGTTTTGTGGGAGATTGGTTGCCTCTGTATTTCTGTATTTTCTGCTTCTGTATTTTTTTTTTTTTTTAGGGGGGGGGGGGGGGGCACGGTGTTAACAGTCTCTCTTCAACCGTTTTAAAGCAAACGAATTATAAATAATAGCAGTAGTTTTATTAATGCTGGTCTAGCTTTTACAGTATATTGGCTTTTCGTACGGGAAATTGTTTTAAAAAATGTGATAAAGTAAATGACGAAATAGGAATTTTTAAAGTATTATATACAAGTACATGCTTGTACTCAATTTAGTGGAAAAATTGCAAGTAAGACAACTATCAACCAGAGTTCAAACGAAGTGGATGTAAGCAAATAGTCATTCGTCGGCCTTCAACAAAAACCCAAATCTTAAAGTCGGCTATAAAAGGCACCGACATGAAAGATGTGAGAAAATACAGACCCATAAAGAACGTGGCAGGGTTAAACATGTTTGATATAGCGCTCAGCAATACCCCTAACCTATGACAGTGGTGTTACAGCACAACTTAACAGACATAGGCAAAATCTCTTTGTTCTAACTGTGCTATAATATGAATAATGCATAGCTAATATGTTTAGGGGTGGATCCATGATTTTTCAAAGGCAATTTTTTGAAACATTTTAGAATATCCAAACATTTGAAATCTGAATTGAAATAGTTTTGAGCTAAATGGAATTAATTACGACTTCTTTATTATGAATTCCTTTATTGTGACTATTTTGGGATCGAATTTAATGAGGTTTTTCTAATTATGTGCCAAAACTGAAAAATACATATACTAGAAAGTCGGAAAGCAATCAGACTTGGTATTAATAGTTGCCACATTTCTTCAAAATCAGCACAGTGCCAGTGTGTTGAAGATTAAAAATTGATGTGTACTTTGCACTATAACTTTAAGTACATCTCTCTTCGATGAATATTCATCTGAACATTTTCTTGAGGGAAAGAATAACAATTAATCCATACTCAACAACACTTTCAGATATCATACACTGTATATGTGAGATAAGACAGCAATCAAACGACAAAAACCACGTAAGTACATCTACAGGGAAACATGTAGTGTTCAACATTAGACTGGTGTCTACACAATGTGTCAAGATATAATAAATCGTCACTTCAGGAGAACGACGGAAAATCATAAATACAGTCATTTTCATAACTGCAAACTACATGTACTTTGAAAGCTGATTTTTAAAATTAACTAAACTAAGCAGAAGATGACACGTTCAAAGTACAGGGGCCTGTTTATCGAAGCGCTCTTAGAACTAAGACATGTCCTAAGATCAGATTTGCTTGTTCAATAACTATAACATAGAAATTAAAATGCAAAAAAAAAAGGAAAAGGGGGTCCATTCCTCAAGCGGTAGTGCTATGGACGTGATAATCTATAACTGCGTATAATAAATAGATATTCGGAATGCTCTGGTTTTATCCATGTAGTGCCAAAAATGTTTGCCTGCTAACCCTTATTTCTCTTCTAAATATTCTTACAAATGGTTTGTAAAGACTGTTTTTATTAATTTTAATTTTTTATTTTTTACAGTTTTTACTAGAAAAAAGTTACAATATCTAAAATGTATGAAAAATCTAAAGAAAATTATTTCTCGGCGAATTTGAAATAGCTTATATATATTTCCGAACAAGGACACGGACCTTTCATTTTTTTCTGATATTTAAGCTAAGTTATTTATATACACTATCAATTTATAAAAGTCTTTTAAGAAGCTTGGGATTTTGAAACAGACAGCGATTATCCTTAATGCGAGTGTTTGTCTCGTACTCTTATATGGTGTTATACATGTAGCAGATAGTCGTCTTAAGAAATGTTTTATTCCTGAAAAATTTTACATCAAAATCTTACTTTATTAATATAAATTCAGTGGGATTGTGATGTATCCTTGTCGTCGTCTGAAGAAATGTTTTGTTAGTACTTAAGGTTTATTGCAGAAATGGCCGTACATTGAAAACTGGCATTTGTACAACAAAATAATGAAATAATAACTGCAAATGTCCTTAACTCCAAGAAAATTAATATACAGATTCACTGCCAACAATAAAATGCAAAACTTAAATGCAATAGTTGAAACTAAACGTTAATTTTCCATAACAGAACAACACTATTGTTTGTATGTATATACTATCGTCAACGAAAGAACTAAAAAGGAAACGATACTTAAGGAATGACTGTAATATTTTTTCTGTCTATGAAGAAATAACATGATAAAAAATGTGGTGCACACTGAATAACCCGCTACACATTTTTTATGTTATTTCGAATAGACAGGAAAGATATTACAGTCATTTCTTATAATTTAATTCTAAATTCCATTTTAAACCGGAGTAATCTATGAAAAAACGTTGATGACGTCACGGTCATATGACAAAATTATGTCTATGAGCTGATAAACAATACAACGCCAGCCAATCAGAAGACGCGTTACATCCAAAATTAAATTATAATTGTAAATTACATAATTGAGAATTATGTTTTGATGTATATTATGAATGATGTATCCTAGTTGATAAGAGGCAAAGGGCGTTACTTATTATTTTGTGATAAAAATTCTGAAAATAACCTAGCCTAAGATCATACGATTTTTGTTTTGGAGACTATCAGCATTAATACTCGTTCGATCGTTCGATGTAGGCTATCCTATTGGAAACGGTCAATTAGTGTTATCAAACAATTTGAAATTAGTAATATGCAAAATCAAATCTTTTCTTTCGAAATACGTAATTAATAAGTTTATGCATGATAAGTCAATGTAAACAAAGATCAACATGCATTGTGTGTCGTCAAGTTGATCTCAACGGTATATTTAAATCTATTTAAATAAAAATACAATAAACTCACTCTACCGGAAAACATATAAGGATTTTTTCTAAGTTCATTCATTCCTGTTGCAATGGTCTTGAATCATTTAGAACATATAAGCTTCCGTTTTAAATTGTGTTTGAGATAAAAGAAATTATTCCTAAATAATACATGTAATATTACAATATTCTCGATATTTTTTTCAGCTGATGGAAATAATTGGGTTTTTTTCACTAATGGAAAAAGTAATGCCACTCGATAGAAATGACATTTGACAGAGCTCAACAATCGATTAAACTAGGAAACAAACGGCAATAACGTTATTGAAAAGTCATAAATAACTGCTCTAACATTCGTCATTTTTCGGACTTGGTTCTGTTTACGTTGTGATACGTTTTGAAAAACATATATCATGTCAAGTCAAAGCTCACATGTATGTAACGAAGGTGTTAGTCAATCCATAAAATTCGAGTTTAAACCTAATATTCAATCACATTGTCTATAAAGATTCGCAACAGGGGAACCACCAGATGTGGATCCAGGATTTTGAAAAAAGGGGCCTCCGCAAACTAAACAAAGTTTGAACAAGTAAAAAGTCTGCATTTACTATAAATTTAGCCTTATGAGGGGACCCAAGCACCCTGCTCCTACTAAATCCGCCTCTGTCTACATGTGCGTAGCAACTCATAGGTCTATTTTGAGCATGATAAGGAATTTGCATGTTTTTTTTTAAAACTTATTTCCTCCTGATTTTTCTATGTAAAACTATATTACTTAGCATGCTCATTATAAATATTTCAAAATTTGTTTTATTTTTTTTTTTATTAATTTTATACATTTTAAATACATCAGCACATTATAGCTTTTACTGTTCCTTTGATAAAAGTTCTACATATTGGACATCTTCTAAGCGCAGGCGCACAGGTGACACAGGCAGCTAAATGGCCACAGGGTAGAAACACAATTGCAATTGGTTCATCTAAGCATATTTTACAAGTCTGCTGATCTTTCAGGTTTTGATTTTCTTCTTCGAGACTTCTAACCGACACTGAAATTTAAAATGATTCGATGTTATGTATATGCATTACGTTTAACACAGCATTCAGTAAACTTTGCCGCCGTAAAACACTTGAATTTGATACAAAACAGTAATGGTAATCATTATTTTTGGAGTTTCGCTGACCATCGGGTAAAAAAATGATAAACAATTCTTTATAAATGTCATGCGTCCGAATTTATCTTCATCGGGAACGCTCAAAGCAGAATATTTGAAAACCAAGGGTGTATAAGAACCGAAACAAATGAAGAGCTATACGACTAAAAAGGACCTCAAATAATAACCAAATCCATCTTAGGTTATTTTTGCCCGAGAGAGTTGAAATCTTCGTCTTTTTTGTTTTTAATATTTCGTAAATTTATAAACTAATAAGTTAATCAATGTTTGTTATAAATCATGTCAGTGACAGAGTACTGACTACGGTGTTGATGATACCCCCGGGGACTGATAGTCCACCAGCAGCGGTACATGTATCGACCCACTGCTGTAAAAAAACTAAAACAACAATTGATAGATTTTATGCATCCGAACGATTTTCTGGATTTACCTTCATCGAGAACGCTCATAGCCGAATATTTGAAAGCCAAGGATGTACATGTATAAAAACCGAAAACAGTTGGAGTTAGAATTAGAATTGATAGTCGAGTTTAAGATAATTTTCGAAAAAGAGTAAGTTTGAAAATTTCCAAGTGTTGAACATATAGGTTTGTATGAATACTAAGTCAAAATTTGGTGAAATTCCCAGTGGGATTTAAAATAAAGAACTTGAACACTAGCTCAAAGATTATCTCGAACTTTGCAATTACTTCGAAATTTATATGGAATGAATAAGCACTCGAAGTTGAACACGAATACTAACTATAATTCCTACTCGAACTCCAAAGTCTTAACTCGAAGGTTAGCCATATTCTTATTTTCGAACCAATGACATCTTTTAAGGGGGACGGAAATTTCGGTAAAGTGTAACATGTAAATTTATTTTGGCTGCCGGTTTAAGATTTAATATGCATAGTCTTAAAGGTCGCCCTGGGGTAAACATCAATGTGACATTTCGTATACATTCAGCACAATAAAAGTCTTAAAGGTAAATATGCAGACAAGGATCAATACTACATATTCTTTGTTAAATAAATATATAATATCAACAATACAATAATACATTATTATTACAGTAGTATTAAAAATACGTACATTCAAGCTCAGGATCACTTGCAGGTTCGTTATTTACTTGTGTTGTAGCTGCAGGTCCGATTGCTGATCGCGTTTCTTCTATTTGAGGTTTGGTTTTATTTGAATTTTCCTGGGTTTGGTTCGATTTTTCCTCTAAATTGAAAATAGTTTCAAGAAGTACGGTACTTGTGATATCTAAAAAAAAAACACAATGTATAAGTAGGTCGTTAAAGATTTCTTTTGAGACTGCAATCATATTCATAATTCTTTACATGTTAATACCTTAACATAAATATACGTGACACAGATCCACCAGAAGTCGCAAATGGTACTGCACCTTTCAGATTTTGGTCAAGAACTAATGCAACATTTTAAAAACTATAAAAAATAAATAAAAAAAAAAATGTGTATTTGACATAGATGTTCGGTCAAATTTTTGATATGAACCTTAAAAGTGATCTATGCAACAATTTAGTGTTGAATAAACGAGTAAACGCTATGTTGAAGTACAATTGTAGAACAAAAGCGGAAAATTGAACGAGAAGACACTCCTGACGTAGGCATTAAATTTTAATTTCATGTGTAAATTCGTTCAAAATTACTGTTTAGACTTCATTCCCAAGAATTAATAATCAAATGACTTAAAATATAAAGTTCAACATACTAAAACTTTTGTCATACCACGAGTTCAGTATTTTTCCTGTTTTGTCTGTGACTTTAGACTTTGTACAAATACATTAGAGTTAGGAACTTTACATCACACTAAAGAATGATACAGACAAGGTCTGTTTGCCTCTACTATCAGGTGATATGAAAAATAAAACTTTTTATCAGGTGATATGAAAAATAAAACTTTTTATCAGGTGATATGAAAAATAAAATAAAACAAATAGACTAGTTGGTCTCTTGTGGAGAGTTGTCTCATTGGCAATCATACCACATCTTCTTATTTTTATATAGATACTATGTTACTAGCAATAATGCCAAAATGATTTCATATAAGAAACAACTGACGGTGCACAGTGGAACACAGTAGATATCAAGTCAAGCGAGGAAGACAAAAAGTCGACCGATGACTAAGATATCAAGTAAAGTATTTGAGATGTTCAGTCCAGCGCTGAAGATAAAGTCCAGAGTTAGAGGTTTAAAGTTCAGCTCTGTTTGAAAGCATTACATACTTATTTACCCCAAGATGTCGTTAAATGAAATTGGATACCCTGCATTTATCATGTTTATCATGCTTTTCAATAACATATGATCAAATCGCTGAGAGTCCCCCCTCCCACCCCCCACCCCTTGATAAATTATTGAAAACTATCATTCTGCATTGACAATAATATTTTAGTGTAAATTAGATACACCCATTCGGGCTAACTCCCTGAAGATGTATCTAATACATATGTCTCACTCTTATCAAGTTTACTTATCATCTTAAGTATAAAATATACCTGATGTTCCAGCTTTCTTGACAGTATCATAGGCTTCTTTGATTAACTTTTCGTCATATCCAAACTGAGATACAGATCTTACTGAAGGAATGTTTCTAAAGTCATCCAGTGGCGTTTTAGGGTTAGGTAGCTCATTCTGTAATTTACAGTTCTAACCCATTAATGATTTATTAATATGATTGTAAATAATTCACAATAGAAGACCATAAAACATATTCAACTGAAAAACATATATATTCGGCACTATGAACCTTCTAGTGTGACATTGAGAGAGTCGGTAATAGAGATTTACAATAAGTGTATGACTCCGACCCGAGTCCGAATAAGACAGTTTAAATGTCGGGAGCGATCTCAAAATAATAAAATTACTGTAAACATTGTACTTTACTCATTACAGTATTAGGAAGCCTCCTACGAGTTCCAATGACTTTATAACATTTCCATTCGCTAACAACGTGTTCAAAGGAGACTCGGTATTCTTCAATGAGTCTGTTGAGCCTCTTACACATTCTCTTTTTTGTGTTCCGGCTTTCTGGTTATCTGCTGTCTGGTTTGTGTCATGTATGGCTGATGAAATAATTCAACATCTTTATCTTGACGAGGATCAGGAGCCACCCACTCCTTATGAGCAGTAGAGGAACATGAATTTCAAAAAATGGATAATGGGCCTGATAATGGAGATATAAATGCAAGCAATGGAACAGCGAAAGCTGAAGTAATTGTCACAGATAATATGTATGATGCTCTTGTATTTCTTGAAGCTTCAAAGAATCTTTAATGCAATTGGTTCGCAGTAACCATGAAGGTATGAAACATTTATCACAAAACAGGTTCCAATATTGTTTAAAGGCCTCGGAGTTGATTTAGATTATTCTGGCACCGGTAAAACAATCATACAGAAAACTTAAATGTCTATTCCAAAAATAAATTAACATTTTCTTTACCTGTATATACAATTCTACGGAGCCCTGTTGGTCTCACACAGATTATAAAGTGTCTTTTAAAGTCCTGCGCTGAAGATGTGTAAAGTCTAGCGCTGGAGATGTAAAGTCTAGCGCTAGAGATGTAAAGTCTAGCGCTGGAGATGTAAAGTCCAGCGCTGAAGATGTAAAGTCTAGCGCTGGAGATGTAAAGTCCAGCGCTGGAGATCTAAAGTCTAGCGCTGGAGATGTAAAGTCAAGCGCTGAAGATGTAAAGTCTAGCGCTGGAGATGTAAAGTCCAGCGCTGAAGATGTAAAGTCCAGCGCTGGAGATGTAAAGTCAAGCGCTGGAGATGTAAAGTCTAGCGCTGGAGATGTAAAATCAATCGAATTATACGAATTCCAAACAAAAAGAAATTAGAAAATTCAGCAAAGAGTCAGAAACTCACTAAAATAAGTAAGAAAATACCAAAACGAGAATAAAAAAATTTATAGACGGAAGAAGAAATGAAGCACACTATGACCAGCAAACAACCATTAGATGGCTGATAGTGGGGGCATAAAGAACCCTCAGATAGCTGATAGTGGGCATAGCGAACCCCTAGATAGCTAATATTGGGCATAAGGAACCCTTAGCTAGCAGAAAAAGGGCATAAAGAACCCTTAGATAGCTGATAGTTGGCATAACGAACCTTTAGAAAGCTGCATTCTGACTCTTTGCTGAATTTTCTAATTTTTTTTGTTTGGAATTCGTATAATTCGATTGATTTTACATCTCCAGCGCTAGACTTTACATCTCCAGCGCTAGACTTTACATCTTCAGCGCTTGACTTTACATCTTCAGCTCTTGACTTTACATCTCCAGCGCTTGATTTTACATCTTCAGCGCTAGACTTTACATCTCCAGCGCTTGATTTTACATCTCCAGCGCTTGACTTTACATCTCCAGCGCTAGACTTTGCATATCTCCAGCGCTAGATTTTACACATCTCCAGCGCTAGACTTTACATCCCCAGCGCTAGACTTTACATCTTCAGCGCTTGACTTTACATCTCCAGCGCTAGACTTTAGATCTCCAGCGCTGGACTTTACATCTTCAGCGCTAGATTTTACATCTTCAGCGCTGGACTTTACATCTCCAGCGCTAGACTTTACATCTCTAGCGCTAGACTTTACATTTCCAGCGCTAGACTTTACACATCATCAGCGCAGGACTTTAAAAGACACTTTATAATCTGTGTGAGACCAACAGGGCTCCGTACAATTCTTCCCAGGTTTTTATAGATTTACATAAAAGGTGTATATCAGGAGTGTCTCGGACACTTCGAAAATCAGTGTTGATTAACTATTTTTAAAAGTGATATGTCTCTTGGAAAAAATGCAAATTCTATAAAAAAATAGCTTGTAAGTGGCACTGCTCTCACGTGTACAATTATTGCCAGGTATTTGTAAAATTTGGTATTGCTCTTGGACAGATAAAATATGTGAAACGCGGTGGACATTGGAACTCTGTCCTTTTATTCTTATCAAAATCAATGCGAACAGGAGTATACATTACTACGGAGCCCCTTACGTGCCATGTAAATATAAATATTTTCGTTTGACGGAGTTTAAATCAGTTTGAAACTAGTGCGCACTACTTTACAACTCGTGCACACGACATTAAAACTAGTACGCATGACTTTTAAACTCTTAAGCAAAACTTTTAAACAAAGCTTGACTGACCCTTTACGAACTTGCGCACGAGTTTAAAAGCCGTGCGCACCATTTTGAAAGTTATGCGCACGAGTTTGAAAGTCGTACGTACGAGTTTAAAAGTCGTGCGCACGAATTTTCAAACTAGTGCGTGCCAGATTAAATCTGTGGCAAACGAAAATATATTCATATAGCACTGTGTACTATTCTCTTAGACTATATACGATGGAAACAAATAGCCCCAAAACAAAACAAAAATAAATTAAAAAAAAACAAACTGAACAATAGTATTATCCAATTTCCTTTTAAATAATTCGTCAGATATGAAAGGACCATTTTTTAAAATTTGAAAAGGGGTTGTTTTTTAATGCAATCAGTAAAACAAAAACATATAACTGGAGCAATAAATATTTGTTGTGAAAGTTTTTAAATTCTGAACATATCTGTTAGCGAGCTTTTAAAAACGTAGCGCACTTTCTACCCTTCAGTAAAAAAAATCAATTAATTTGATAAATGGTTTTGTCCTATCACCACACAAAGATTGAACACGGTAATATTAATTAGTGTACACATTATTTTGAGATCACCCCTATAGCCTATCTGTATGATTTGTAATCGTACTCGTACTCGGACTCCGAGTCCGACAGTTATTGTAAATCTCGATTGCTAATTGTCTCTATACGGAGTTCGCCGAATACATGTAGTTTAAATCTTTTTCTGTACGTTATGTAAAAAGGGTATTATTTCTGCAACACGCGTTTCTGGAATAACTTTTGTCACGTACGCACATGAACACAAGCTTGAAAAGACAAAATATTAAACGTACGATTTCATATAACCAGATATATTTAGCACAGGCACTTGTCTCTGAAAAAAAATTGCCTTAATATATTAAAGTGTATAGGTAATTTTTTTTAGAGACAAGCAAGTGCCTCCGTTGATATTTAGACGGCGACCATCTGTCTTTTGTAAAGGGGGACACGGATTGTTTGTCTTAAGACACACATCATTGTTTCAATTTCCTTCTGAAATATTTTGTTTCAAGAAATTTGAAATCCAGCAATTTGTTAAAAAAACATGCGCCCCTCCCCTCCCCCCCGCCACACACACACAAAACTAATGTGAGTTGCCTTTAATATAGAAAGAAATGCCAAGTCTGTCATACTAGTCAATTTTGAGACTAATGGTGTTGCAACCTTAGTTTTAGCATGATTACATACTTAGTTTATGAACTTAAAATTTGCGAACAATATGTTTCTGTTTTAGTTTCTGTCGGGTAATAGCCTCCTTCAACAAATTTTCTGCTATATATATGTATCATATAAATCGTGCCAATACTGGAACACATGCTACTGACTGACACCGTAGATCAGAACAAAAATAATTTCTTCTTCTTTGCAGTATGATCCGCTCTATAATTTTAAGCACTAGTATGAATTTATACTGTTATTTTGATTTCATTCAGAAGATGCGTAAATATATTCAAAACTCAGTGAAATAACACATTCAAAGAGGCCGTAATTGTAATGCACAGACATAACTTAAGCTTGTAAAGTATTGCACTTTTTTCATAATTGCATTTGGAACAAACCATTCTCTCTAACTAACCTTTTCGACTATTTCAGTTTGCATGTTGGTTGTTTGAACATCTCGTATAAATCTTTCACCTTTACAATTTCGCACAAATGCACAGTTCTGGTACCAGCGAGCATGTTCTATCCACGGCTGATCCCCTGGTTCCCAGTTTCTCAAGCCACCGCCACAGAAAAAGCAGCGACAATGATCCCCGGTACCTTTAATATAAAATTTTCAATGATGTAAAATTTTGAAATAAATAGAAATGCTGCTTATTTTTAATCATATGTATTACAACACTACTGTTATAAACTTAATTTGCGTACAAAGTGTAATACTTTATCACTGTTCACCGCAAACTAATTCAAACTAAGGCCAAAATTATACACGTGTTACATGATGAAAAAATAGTGTCGATTGAAAGGGACCTTTTTTAACATTTTTGAAAGCTTGACTCTTTTAGAGTGGAGACTTTGTTACTTTAAAGGCGCTTAATAGAAAATGCCATTTCTTTAAACAGGGCAGATTGTGTGACAGTTAATACTTTATTTTATTTATTTTGGCCTAATTATGAGGTATGTGTAAATCCATAAACACCAGGAGTGAAAATAGGTACAGTTTGGTTCGGTCACTGATAATTAGTCAGTTTCTGACCTACAAGTTAACATATTGTTTTTTATTCAATTAATTGTATGGAAATTCAAACATTGTGTTATATAAAGGAACTCAAGACATTTTTTATTTTAAAATTGACTTCAATAAAGATTTGATCAAAAGATTTCTTATTTTTTTCTTTTTTGATGAACAACGATTTGTACCTGTAAAAAAGAATCCCGCTGAAACCATTTCATCTGGAGACTGTGTCAAATATGTTGGCCAATGTTTAAATGAGTCGAGTCTAGATATTCTGGTGGCATATTTTGAATACTTTGGGGTATCAATACAAATCCCCATCGTCATTGGTTCAAGTGGAGCTTTACTAGCTATTGTGCTATCGTTAGAAGTTGTTTGACTCAATATCTGGCTGTTTAATGCGCTAGTACTGCAATTCATAGTCGATAAATTTGTCTGGGAAATTCTGGTCAAGCTGCCAGTATTATTACTCGAGTAATTATTTGCAATTTGGTAAACTTCTGTCCTCGTTATATCAGTATTAGTGTTGTTCATTAAACTTTGATTTATTCCACATGGACTACTTTGTATCCCTACGCCATACGTTTGTGAAACATCGTATATGAAGTTGTTTAAATGTTGATTAATTGTGTTAGTATTCTCACTTCCTTGAGTCTCTATTCCATTGGTATGCATATTCAAGCTCTGTTGAGCAACGGTACTTTTTATCGGTGGTTTAGTTTTGTCGCATTCAGTTCCTTCGCTAGGACTATAATATGCACCATTGCTAACAGTGCCTTCTGTGATATTTTGGGAATGTTCCATGAATTTGGAGCTACATGAATTTTGTTTGATAAAATCGCAAAGTGGCGAAATTAGCTTGTGAATTTCTGATGGAGAATCATGCCGTTTCCAGTTTTTGTGTGTAATTTTGCATTTAAAACAAACAACCTCATCACCATTTCCTGAATAATAGAATCCAGTTCTTGCAAGTTTAGTTGCATAGATACCAGGAATATCTGGAAATGTTGCAAAAGTTGACAATCTTGCACCTTCATACTCCATAGCATCCTGTAAGGGTAGTTTTGTACTATTTTGGCATATTGTGCTTTCGTCTGGAGGAAGAAATGGAGAACTCTGGTAGAAAGGCTGTTGTAACATTATTATGACGGTTTGGTTGATTGATTGGTTGATTGATTGATTGATTGATTGATGGAATGTTAATTGTTTAACGTCCTATATAACGGTTTGAGGTATCCAGATTTTCCTATGGGACATCAATATAACTGTCTTTATAAAACGTTTGTTCTTGATATGTATTATGAATTTTTAATTCTTCTGAATTATCAAAAAAAACCATTACAATCAATAAATACAGCCACTCACTCTTGTATCTGTTTTTTCCAAAAATTCTGGATAATGCTTAACAGAACTATCAAGAAGAAGCGTTATAAAAAAGCTTATATTAAATCCGCGTTCTTTTTGAAAATCGTTGATCGCTTCCCCCTTATGTGTACTGACGACTTGTGAGAAATATGCGTTCAATGTTGAGAGTGCAATACACGTAAGCATCTTTTCCCGTGTATAGTCTAGTCACATCCATTCTACAACATAAATCTTTTCACATTATAACGTCAGTAGCTATTGATACTTAACAATGAAAAAGAAACAAGTACCCGGTATTACATAACATGGTAGAAATAAAACATGTTTAGCTTATAAAGTGTAATTTAATTGCAAAATAACTAAAGTATCTTTTAATGCATTTGTCAGACCGAACGTGACAGTGTATGATCTATTATATATATCCCGCACAGTTACGGTCGCCCATCTCTAGTACGGGTGTTATTGCCAATGCAATGTGTATTCACTCTGGTGTGATATGGAATATTCAATGATACATGTACATGTATACAGGTGTATGCATTTGGCATTATATCTAGTATGTAGCTTTGAAAACTGAAACCATACGCCTAAATACAGAAATATAAATGTAATATATGTATGAACTGAAGTCAAAGTCAAATGTGTATTTAAGCGAAGTTGTTGAAGAAATGTTTAAAAATAAATCAACACCATTAATAAATAAAAACACAAGAGCGGATCAAAGATTTTTGAAAGTTGGGCATACTTCCATAAAACAGTTTATATCCCGCCAAGTAGAGAGAGGCGAAAATATTTTGGATGATTGTATGCTAAAAAATAAAATATTGTCCATCAAAAGTGGAGGGTTTCACACCCCAAGCCACCCCGCCCCACCCCCCCCCCCCCCCCCCACCCCCACCGGTCCCCCCATAAATCCGCCACTGAAACATTTAATCTTTCTGAAAAAGAAAAAATAGATTTTAAAAACAATTTAGCACATAGTTGCGCCTTCTTGGTATAGGAAAAATAAAACTGACCTTGTTGCAACAAACATCCGTTTAAAATGATTTGAGCGGGTTTTAAAAGAAGCGCTAAGCGTTGTTATTGGTTGTCATGTCGAATAAATTCATTGTTGCAATTGAATAGATCTATTTAAAATTTTATCTTACTTCCTGGTGTCGTCATAACGATTAAATACAAGGGGTGACAATCCAATTTAATAATAAGTAGATGTTGTGATAGTTGCCATTGAAAAAACTATCCACTAGAGTTCAAATAAGTGGATATAAGCAATTATTGGTCACCTAAAGTTTTTATTTTAAAGGTAATTAGGAAAGGGGATTTTTTGGGTAAATATTTTAATGATATCCGTAAAGTGTCTAATCACTACATGTGATTAATATTTCCAAAATTATTTTTTTTAATAAAATTTGGCATGTGCCGGAAAAGAATTTATCTTGCATTGTGATTTGAAATCACGATCGGAATTTGGTCTTCATAAACATTTATGACATAAAGGATCCCGGAGGTCCTGGATGGGCGGTCCTTCAATTCTGTATCCTTTTCAGTAATGGTGTAAACCCTTTTCTCTATTCTTTATATATAAATTTTAACCATTATTCTCTATTCATTTTATTTAAGCATCCCATTATTTGTTTTGCCTATTTTTCTGTATGCCTTATTTTTTCGCCCATTTTTGCGTAGTATTGGCCCATCATTCTCTATTCTTTAAACCCCATCCAGACCCTAGATGTACATTTATGGCATACATTTAAAGCTGCCCATAGAAGTATTGAGAATTAAATCTTTGAAGATCGAAAACAAAACTAACATAAAATTGAAAATTATCAATAATTTATTTGCCTCACAGGTTTTATATATTAAATTCATTTTTAATAGTATTCTATTCTTAATCTTAATTTTCTATTATTTATTTTGAATAGACTAAAAGATGCTTTGCTTCACCAAGAAAATAATATGGAATCGCAAAGGATAGTATTACACATTATTATCCATTCAGTGGTTCAACATTGATATCATGATTTAATTTTAGATTAAGTAAGTTTTCGAGCAGCACAAAATAATCAATTATAGTTCTCGAATCTATTTTTTCTGTCCTCATCCTAAAAATTATGTTTTGCTGCCTAATCCGACATCATTTCATATGAATTCTCAAATTACAAGGGAATTTTCCAAAGTTTGGAATTTTATAAGCAAATTTAGACTGTAAAAGCAGACGTTCCTTTTTGCTGGGCTTTTAAAAATATACATAATTCTTGTAATGGCGTAGGAAAAGACTAAAATAGTTTAGAAAAAAATTTCTTACATCCACCGGATTATTTTTGAAGTGGTGTAAATAAAACGACAGAAAAAAAAAATGAATAGGAAAGTTTAACAATCAACTGGAGAAAAGGAGAGAGAGGGATTTTATCAATCACGATGGAACATCATTATCACTCTAACCCTTTTTTGTAACTATGTAACTGCCAGTTACCTAAGAATATTGTAATTGTAAACTATATATTTTAACATGCCGTAGTTGCACTCACACCAATAATTTGAGGTATGATCTTGGTGCCTCCAAAACTCGAGTTAAAGAAACTTTGTACAAATACTTATATTGCCAAGGATTTGTATAAAATCCTCTTAAGAAAAACAAAGACGTCGATTTTAACCGAACATTATACGTAATTTTGTGGTCAAAACATGACGGTAAAGAGCGAATATAGTGTATCAATATTCAGGATACAAAATCACTTAGCGCACATGAAAAACAACAGGAAAGGAACAGCATTTTTATTGCGGTTCCTTATCTTAATCTCACGGCGAGGACTTCAACATGGAGCTGAAAAACATTCACCTTACCACCAGTTTAAGAGAACCTCTAACACCAGGTTTACCGGAATTCTTTAATTGCTAGATGTTACATGTATATGTGCATCGCAGAACACAGATGTCGGATAATACCGACAATTGAAATTATATCTAGCAACAAAATCTATAAAATACTGTCATAAATTTCTCCGCAATCTCGATGATTAAATATTAAATACAAACATTTATACACTCATGGGGTTTACAAAGTGGGGGTATATCAAGATATATATATTACATATTGACAATAAAGAGAAAGATTAACTTACAAAACCATATCAAAAGGGAAAATATTGACTGAAAAATTACTAATGTGTATACTCATACCAATGCAGTTTATGAGTATGAAATATAGACCATATAGAACTACATGTACCTGTTCTGAGCACGATTAAATAAAAGAGACTAATCTAGTGAATAGTTCAGCCTTGCTTTATTACACATTAAAGTATCGATAGATGTATGATAAATTACGAAAGCCGAGAAGGATCCTTAATGAATATTCTATAACTACAAAACTGCACTACATCATGCTAATTTTTACTACAGTAACTATAACTTAAACTTTTACCTATATGTTGTCCATTAATATGTTTTCATTTGAGCTTCTTGATCTTCAAGCGTATATGAAATATAATCTATATTCCGTTGTTTTATAAAAAGACCATAAACCCACTTATTCATGGTATGGTATCAATATTTCTGACCTGAAACTACGTACTTTTTATTGCTTAATTCTTTAGAATTTAATATGCAATGTTTCGGGTTCTTTCGGGAGTATTCCCAGGTAAACCCTCATCAGAGGCCGACCTTTATGTATTTATTTCATATCTAATATCATAGATAAATGTTTGTCTGTTTCATAACAGTTTTTTTTAATTTATTAACTACACGTGCATATAGGTCTACGTTGTAGCTAGTCTTTTTACAGACTGAAGAAACTGACCAAGTTGATCAGCACTTTTGTTTAATTAATGAAGAGACTTATTGTCTTTATTTTTATCACTAATTACTTCAACATAAATCTACACGGAATATAGTTGAGATAGTATTTATCATTTATCAATGTCATATTGTTGAATTCAGGGTATACTGGCGTGTTTGTTTTATCATCTATATGATAATATAAAAAAGTCTCCATGTTTAGCATTTGAAGAAATATGTGTAGGTACCCTGCCGGGTAGAAACATGGACATATTAGAAACCGTCGGTTATCTCAGATACGTGATCTATTGAAATAAATCGGTGTCATGTCTTTATTACATCTGTTTCACAGTATACACTATATTATAAAGCCTCCTGTGGAGGGGTTCTTCGACTTAATGATTAATTATCATGTCGCTAATATTCTTATTGTTTTTGAAACCCATATCTGGTTTAGATTTAAATATTTGTTTGGCAATCGGATCTTTCCGAATTATATACCAGAACTTTGTTATAATCTTTTTAAGATATTCAGCATTATAATGATACGTTGTAATGAACATATTTCTGCCTGTTATTTTATTCTTATATTGTTTCTTCCGAAGTTGTAACTGTCTGTCTTCGTGACGAATTTTGTGCAATATTTGACTGACAATTTCTTTCGTGTATCCCCGTCTAGATAATTTATCTATAAACAGTTTAATACGTTTATTGAATTCGTCCTTACTGCTGGTGTTTCAAAGAATTCTAGTCCCTTCTCCTTTACTAAAAGAAGAGAAACAGGTATGAGCATGACTCGAGCTCCTATGTATATACTGAAAATTTTCAGTGGGTTTGGTGCAACAGTTTACATCTAGTATCTTAGATGTGGTGACCTGTTTGTCTTTATACAATACAACATCTAAGAATTTCATAGTATGAGTATTTATTTCAAACGTGAATTTCAGCAGGTTATGTTTCTTATTTGCTATTTCAAATAGTTGTTTAATTTGCTCACTGCTTCCATTAAATATAATAAAGCCATCATCTCTCATTCGTTTATGAAATTTAATATTATCTATGTATGGATATTGTTCTATAATATTATTTATATGGTCAAATATAGCAATATCAGATATTTCCGGGGAAGCAACTCCGCCCATTGAAACGCCAACGATTTGTTTATATGCGTTTTCATTAAAAGTAAATTCATTTTTTGTCAGTAAAATACTAAGGATATCAAGTAGACTTTCTGTAGATGGTCTTTTAATATCATATTCTTGATTTACATGGTCTGTAAGCGTATTTTCTATAGCCGTTTTAATTTCATTGAAATTAAGATTAGTATATAACGATGTTATATCATAGGAAACAAGAAAATCACTCTGTTCCGTGTGAGTATTTTCTATGTATCTGATAAAATCGCTAGTATCTGATAGATATGTATCTTGTGTCTTAACCAGTGGAAGAAGAAAATAATCTAGGTATTTTCCAATATTTAGCAGTGGTCCCGAGCATTGGCTAATAATCGGTCGACCTGGTACATGTACTTTTTCTTTATTCATACATCTATTTTGGTACATTTCTAATGTTTCCGTACTAAGTTTGTGAATCTTAGGAAGGAAGTAGGCTTTTGGAGTTTTAAATGATTTACCTTCTTCTCGTAAGAATTTGAAAGACATTTCGTCTATTTCATCATTTTCTTTCAAACGGTATACCATTTTATTGACTATTTTTCTGGTGTTTTCTATGTCAATATTTATTATTTTAGTATAGTGAATACCGTCATTTAATTGGGATTCGCCTTCAATAAGATAATCACGTTTATTCTGTATTACAGTCGTGTTATTTTTATCGGCTTTATGAATACATATAGTATTGTCGATTTTTAATTTCTGTATGCATTCACGTTCCGATTTAGACATATTGTATTTAATCTTCGGCATATATTTTGATAGTTCGTGTTTTGTGTAGAAAATGTATTTTTCTATTGAATTATCGCCAATGATTGGAACTTGAAAGTTAGACTTACTTTTGAAAGGGTGGTTTTTAGTTGCTATGCGTACATTAGTACCGAAATAATATTTCAGTCGCAACGACCTCTAAAATGATTGAAAATCATTTATCAATTGTCTGTGGTTACATTTGTTTGTAGGAAAAATTTTTAAACCTTTTGCTATAACTTTAAATTCAGTTTCAGTTATATCTCTTTTAGATAAGTTAAGGACGAACTCTTTATGAAAGTTTAGGTCCCGTTTCTTATTTTCAATAGCAGATTGTGTTTAAATCTTATATGCTTATTCTTTGTTTTATTTCTTTTCTTGTTTTTATAATATCTTCTA